GGTAGGTGTGATTGGAGGGCTCCCACTGGGACCGGAGCCACTGAGTATTCCTCCGCTGGAGCTGTTCATCTGTGAGTACCCTCTGCTGTGTCACCTTTCACCCATTGTGCGGGTTCACAGAGTACAGTGTTGTTGGTGTGGCCTCCGGCCCCACCTCAACCTTGGGTACACCAGCAGCAGGCCCTGGTATCTCTCCGGCGTTGTTTTTGCACGGCCAGCAGCACAGATCCGCTGAAGTCAGGTCCCAGGACTGCAGTAGGCATGCACCTGGACCTGCTGTGGGAGCTGTGGAGGCAGCTCAGACCCTGGCCGGGCCCAGCCCCCACGTATACTGGTCCACAGAGCCCACAACTGCTAAAGCCAGACCCATCACAGCCGCGGGAGCACCTGTGGTCTGTTCGGTTGTTCCACAGGCACTGAATTTACAGAGTTGGCAGCAGAGGTCTAAATCCATGGTTCACGCAGCTGCTGGGAGATTTTTCAGCTCTGCTCGTGAGTCGCACAGCCCCTGGGGCTCAGCTGTGGTTTCACCCACACCTCTGCATGTGGGCAACCCACTGGCGTTGCTCCTGGGGTTGCCGAGGTGGCTGGGGCACACAAGCCTGTCCAGGCGGGGGGGGCTAGGGTGGCAGCTGTGGCTCGCAAGCCTGCCCAGGCAGTGGCCAGTGCCTGGGGAAGGAGGCCGCAATGGCAGCCCCACCCCTCCCTTCGCATACCACTTAACATTGGTGCTTTGGTTCTGTGGTGGCCCAGGCTTCTTCTGAAAATGCTACCACTGCTGTGCGCCCCGCTCCAGCCCCTTCAGGCTGTCTCCATACAGCCAGCAGCAGTCCTCCCCCGGGGTCTGTTCTCTAAACCCTGCATTCCAGCACCCTCCCCCCACCCCCATACCAGCAGCCGAGCTTCTCATGCTGAGGCTCCCAGGGCGGTGGCACAGACCTACGTGTAGGTCTCTTTCTGTCCTGCCTGCCACAAACTGGTTGTTGCACTCTCCTCTGAGCCTCTGAAGCTCCTTTTCTGTCCCAGCTAATCTCCCTGCTGGGGATGGGACTTCCCAGGGTATGGGAACTTCTCTCCTTCAGCTCCTTCCCAAGGGCGGGGGTCCCGTACCACTTCCTCTTTTTTTAAACTTTTCATTTATTTATTTATTTATAAAATTAATTTTATTTATTTTAGCTGTGTTGGGTCTTCGTTGCTGCGCGCAGGCTTTCTCTAGTTGCGGTGAGCAGAGGCTACTCTTTGTTGTGGCTTCTCATTGCGGTGGCTTCTCTTGATACAGAGCACGGGCTCTAGGGCACATGGGCTTCAGTAGTTGTGGCACGTGGGCTCGGTAGTTGTGGCTCACAGGCTCTAGAGTGCAGGCTCAGTAGTTGTGGCTCACAGGCTTAGTTGCTCCGCGGCATGTGGCATCTTCCCGGACTAGGGATCCAACCCGTGCCCCCTGCATTGGCAGGCAGATTCTTAACCACTGCACCACCAAGGAAGTCCCTGTAGATATATTCTTGGTATATTTGTGGGAAGAGGTGAGTTCCATGTCCTACTACTCCACCACCTTGATTCTTCCCTCTCTTCTTTTCTTTTTTTTTTTTTTAACATTTATTGAAGTAAAATTGCTTTACAATGATGTGTTAGTTTCTGCTGTATACCAAAGTGAATCAGCTATACATATACATATATTCCCGTATACCCTCCCTCTTGCGTCTCCCTCCCACTCTCCCTATCCCACCCCTCTAGGTGGTCACAAAGCACCGAGCTGATCTCCCTGTGCTATGCAGCTGCTTCCCACTAGCTATCTGTTTTTCATTTGGTAGTGTATATATGTCCATGCCACTCTCTCACTTTGTCCCAGTTTACCCTTCCCCCTCCCCATGTCCTCAAGTCAGTTCTTTACATCTGCGTCTTTATTCCTGTCCTGCCCCTAGGTTCTTCATAACCTTTTTTTTTTTTAGGTTCCATATATACGTGTTAGCATACAATGTTTGTTTTTCTCTTTCTGACGTACTTCACTCTGTATGACAGACTCTGGGTCCATCCACCTCACTACAAATAACTCAATTTCGTTTTCTTTTTTATGGCTGAGTAATATTCCATTGTATATATGTGCCACATCTTCTCCCTCTCTTCTAGCAGATGATCAAGCATGTTCATGACTTGGTTCATTTAATCCTCAGAATAACAAAGGAGAATAGGCAGAAAAACTATATATAAATATAATTTTTTAACTAATAAGAAAACTGAACCCTAAGATAATTCAGATTCATTCTCCAAATCACATTGGTACTGTGTGGCAGAGCTGGGACTCAAATCTAATTTTTCTTGCTTCATAGTCCTGAGAACTAGCTCTTGTCCAGTACATGATGCTGCCTTCCTCTTGTCATTTGCCAGGTTCTGTCAGTCTTTACAGTATCTCTTGCATCTGTTTCTTTCTACGTCCCCTATAGTCATCTTACCTTATACCTTCGTTAACTCTTGCCTGATCTAAATTCTCTCCCAGCTTTAGGCTCCCTGCTCTCCCGTCGATGTGGTGTTTACAGCTACAGAGTGATTTCCTGTCATGCAACTCCTCTTGCTCAAAAACTGTCACTTCATTGCTTATGAAGTGAAGTCCTTCTAGATTCCTCAGTTACTTGTTACCTAAAGTCTTCAGCCAGAATTCATCTCTCCTCTAAGGAAGTAGGGGAAAAAAAGAATCCAATATGGATGTGTTTTTGTTCGGCCTAAACATTGCTTTTCTAAAATATGAGCCAACATTTTTAAGATCAGTAGATTTTGTTGAAAAGATCAGACTCTTGAAAAGTGGAAAATCTGGCAAGACTAGGCCTGCATTCTTATGTGGCAAAAAATAGCCTGTTGTTGAGGAAATAGCTGCCTGCTTTAGACAAGGCAGCCTTTTCCTACTTCACCCATCAGTCCCTATTGTCTTCTTGACACTGAGGCCATCGTTTAGAACCATTTACCATCACACTTGTGCTGTAATTTTCTTAGAGTGGAGAAATATTTTTCTCGAGCTTGGGTCTCTTATCAAATATTAGAAAGTAAGACTCAGAGCTACGTGTTAGAAGAAAAATTAGGGCATGCTTCTTTAGAATATTCCTACTTACTAAAGTGCAAGCAAAGCATGTCTGTGTCAAAAGAATAGAACTTTTCTTATCCTGGCTTACTTCATTCATTGTCACATTGGTACCCATTGAGTATTTTGAGTTTCCCACCTTTGATTTAGAACATCTTGAATTACTTTCCAAAGAATATACACATAAAAGGTAGCAGAGCCAGGATTCAACTCCAAAGCCCATATTCTTTTTGCTATATCATTCAGTATCTGAGTTCTTGTAGCTTTGTGTATCTCTATCATAATGCTTAACCAAAACTACTCAGAACATACATGTGCTTTGCAACATGGTAGCAATTTAGTAAATAGATTATGTTAAATGATTCTCTCTAGAACTAAAGGCAATAAATAAATGGTTTGTCGTGTTTGAGATGTCTTATACATGTCTTTTTTTTTCCCCCATCTTTTTGAGATATGGACATTTCCCAAAGGGCTATGTTTCTCATTTGTTCAGATCCCTAGTGATGAATTAGAATAAAAAATCAACTTTTGATTTTCTGTGTTTAAATTTAGATTTAATGTTTGGTGATGCATGCTGGCATAGCCCTTTTTGAGTAGGAGTATCCAAGAATGGCCCACATTCACTTGCTTGGAATTTCAAGTAGTTGAAGCTGTTTGGAGGTTAAATCTTTCTGATATAGTATCATTCTTCTGGGTATTTTTTTGGTATAGTATCCAAAGGGGTTTTGCTGATTTTAGGACAGAGAGATTGGATATTATCTGATCTTGGGGAGAGTGTTGTTGCCAAGGTATTGCATTAATCCCTGATCTCAGGTGTAAACTTTTCTAGAAGGTGTAAACTTTTCTAGTATTTGAACTAGATGAAGATTGATTTTTAGCTAGTGTTTCAAAAAAGATTTATGTAGGCTAAAAAATATGTTCTATAAGTGTTTGTGGCCCTTTTCTTATGTTACGTTGCATAGTCATCTTCACCCATAGGCTTTACTATATCTTATGTGTAGCTCAGTCCCTTGAAAAATAGTGTTTATGTGTAATATTTCTTTTTAAAATAATTCTTCTTTATCAGGAACTTTTGATTAGATAGAACATCTGACTATGCCAGGTTATATATAGTGGCATTTTTTTACATCAAAGGAGTCAGAAAAACTCACGTTACTTTGTAACAAGAAACAGTTATGCAGAATGTGTTTTAACCTTGGGGAAAATTACTTAATTCTTCTGACCTTGATTTTCACATGTATAAAACAAAGAATTAATTTAGATCAATAATTATCAATTTGCTGTGTATAAGAATTGCCTATGGAAAATGGAAAAACTACATGCATTTAAGTCCAACCCAAAGGATTCTGATGTAGTAGGTTTATTTAGATTAAAGTTTTTCAACCTCAGGATTATTGACATTTAGGGCTGGATAATTCTGTGTTTTGTGGACTGTCCTGTGCATTGTAGGATGTTTAGCAGTATCTATGGCCTTTACTCACTAGATGTTAGTAACAATCCCCCACCCCAAGTTATGACAGCCAGAAGTGTCTCCTGACATGGCCAGATGTCCATGGGGGACAAAATTACCCCAGGCTGAGAACCACCTTCCCAGAGCCAGATCTAGAAATCTGCACTTTTTACTAGCCCCATTGGTAATTATATCATTAACTCTTAAAAGTGATCAATCAAGAATTTTTGCTAATTTTTCCATGCATGGTATATTTGCAGATAAAAATTAAGCAATCCATGTACAGTCAAATTTTTAGAACATTTGGGTATTTCTCTTTAAAAAATAATTGTCAAACAAATTGATTGCATCGAAATGCAATTGTTAAAATGCATAGCTAAAACTGTGGTGGTGCTTGTTTGAATCTAAAAATTCTTTATAAAGAAATTTCCCTTTCAGTGTTTTTAGTTGGTGATTCCTTGCGGCCTTTTGTTTCATTAGGATCAAGCGGCTAGAGACATGAAGAGGCTTGAAGAAAAGGACAAGGAAAGAAAAAACGTAAAGTAAGTTGTTTTCTTCTCCCTCAAAAGTTACATAAAAATTGCTACAGTATTGCAAAGCCTATACCCCCAAAGTTTATAGAGAAAAATTAAAATACACAAATGACTTAAAGTTATTTCTGTATCTTGAATAATATTTCTTATAGTAATTAAAAAGCATTCTTTTTGGTATTCAACTATAAATAGTTTTTAGTAAACACAAGAATGAGTTACAGAGAGAATCGAGAGAGCATCATTACTAAAGTTTGGGTTCATTTTTCAGTCTTGTCCCATAACTGATATGAAATAGACTTACGCCTGTGTGATTGATTTTAAGAAGTAATGGTGATTGTACACAAAAAACTGTGTATATTTTTAATAAATAATAAAAATTTATTTAAGGGGTGACATGCTTTAGCCACTAGTCAGAACTTGAAATACTTTATTTTCTAGGAAAGAGAATTCTCCTCGTCCCCTTGCTGAATATACTCTTCTTAAGGCTTTTTTACCAAGTACAGGGAGGCATGGTTGGACTTTTACCTCTACTTGGCAGTCAGTGCTCAGGCCCTCCCCAAGGTTCCTGTGCCATATGGAGGTTCAGCCCTCTCTTTGGCGTTTATTGTGTGCTGCATCCTCTTCCAGCTGCCCTTCACTGGCGGTGCTGCTTGCCTTAGGGATAGCAAGTGCACTAGGTTAGGAAGAAAGTCTGATTAAAAAGAGATGCTTATGGGAACTAAGCAACCATACTGTCCACAGCTCCTGAGAGATGCAAGTGGCGATGGTCCGCTTCTCCATGTGAACTGTTTGGGAGTTTTAGTCCCAAATTTTAAAAAGAGTTGATGTAGTTTTTCTCTCTGTCCCCAAGGATTTTGGCTGAACGTAGTTACTCCAGGGCTAGAAACTCTGGGGCACATTAAGAAAGTTGTGACAGTCTTTTTAGCATGTACCAAATGCAGGTTTTTTTTTTTTTAATATAAAATGCTTTATATTAAACACTGTACTGTGTTTGTTGTATGGGGTTGACAAGCCTGGGGTCCTTGGGTATCTCTCTTCAAAAGTTTTTACTCCCTATGTTCTTGTTAGTATTTGATGTTTCTAGGGGTACCATATCATCCCATTCAAAAGAAATGCAAACTGTGGCTTACAGACTGAAACCAGACATGTATGATGGATGGATAGTTTACAGTGTGCTTATTGCTGCTTTGTTATTGTTAGTGTTGAGAGTTCCTGTGCTGTATGGAATTCAACACTAATGTGCTATAAGTATGGAGCTGGGTATGTGGAACATTTGCAGGGAAGTTTGTTTCTCCGCTTGTTTTTCCAGGGGTATTCGAGATGACATTGAAGAGGAAGATGACCAAGTGAGTTCCTATGCAGTATTTCTTTTACTTTTACCCCACAAAGTCTGTACTGGGGACAAGCTAGAGCTTGCCTTCACTGAAATGGCCATTCCTGACGTTCAGGAGGGAATGTCATTTGACTTGCTGCTTTTCTGCGTGTGTGACCAGTTGGTAATATAAAGATTCATGTGACTTTCCCCCATGTTGAAGATGGAATTTTTGATCAACTATGATATCAAAAGCAAATATGAGCTTTATTCAGCTTGATTTTTTTAATCCAAAATTAATGTTTCTTCTGATAAGTCAAGGAGTAGAGTAGAGTGGGATCTACGGATGGACTCTAGCAACATCTAACCTCTACCTGTTTCTAAGAGTTCTGTTTGTGATTCTTGTGTTTCAAGATGGAACATTAATTAAATGACTGTCCTTTAGGGTTTTTATTCGTTAGTATTTTTTTTCCCCCATTCAGTTGTGGGATGGTGAGAAGGGAACCAGAGTGAGCCTTTCCCAGGTTTGTGACCCTTCTAATCAGTGTCACCTTCCAAACTTGGATTGGTAAAGCCACAGCATGTGTTCCACAGCTCTGGGCACCCCACCCGAGGAAGGCTGTGGAACAGACAGATATATGTCTTCTTTTAAGCAAGCTAAATCATTTTATGGTAGTAACCGTCTCATTCATTTCCTCTGATTGTCCCTCTGAATACTGCTATTGTTAAAGGAATCATTGCTAGTAAGAGTCTTGGTAGGTATTTAAACTGTGCAGTTATCTGTACACTGTATGCACTAATTACAGGAGCAGAAATGTTCTCATTTATACTTGGGTATGATTATGTTCTTGTGCTTTCCTGCAGGAAGCTTATTTTCGGTACATGGCAGAGAATCCAACTGCTGGCGTGGTTCAGGAGGAAGAGGAGGATAATTTGGAATATGATAGTGACGGAAATCCAATTGCACCTTCCAAAAAAATCATTGATCCTCTTCCTCCCATTGATCATTCAGAGGTATGGTGTTTCTTGCTGAATTTGACTCTTCTTTCAAGCTGATAGTTTTCTTTAGCTTTAATATTTAGGTTTTCCCCAATATCCTGATTCGTACTCCTTATTATGTCATGAGACTATTTCTTTGGACTCTTGTCATCTTTACCAAATGGTTGAGTCAGAAGGTGACTGAGTGGTTGAGACTTTGTAGCCTATACTGTTGAAGGTACAGCTGAGTCACTTGCTCACATTCATTTTTTTTCAAGCAATTGTACTTGTTTTCTGCACCATCACTTACCATCTTCATCTCACAGTGGGTCCGTGGGCCTGCATTTGCTTTTCTAAAAATTAATGAATTAATTATTTTTTAAATTTATTATTTATTTTTAAAATAAATTTATTTTATTTATTTTTGGCTGTGTTGGGTCTTCGTTGCTGTTTGCGGGCTTTCTCTAGCTGTGGAGAGCGGGGGCTACTCTTCGTTGTGGTGCATGGGCTTCCCATTGCTGTAGCTTCTCTTGTTGCAGAGCATGGGCCCTAGGCGCGTGGGCTTCAGTAGTTGTGGCACATGGGCTCAGTAGTTATGGCTCACGAGCTCTAGGGCACAGGCTCAGTAGGGGTGGCGCACGGGCTTAGTTACTCTGCGGCATGTGGGATCTTCCCGGACCAGGGCTCGAATGTGTGTCCCCTGCATTGGCAGGTGGATTCTCAACCACTGCGCCACCAGGGAAGCCCCTGCATTTGCTTTTTAATTGCTGTAAATCTTTAGTATTTCTCCTAGATCTGGAACAGATGAGGGGTTGTTCCTCCAAGTGGAACCAGGAATTACATGGCCCTTAAATCAGGAAAAGGAAATGAGGATATCAGTGTACTCACTTGCGGTGGGGGCGGAAATCAGTATTTCATCCAGGTTAAATATCAGACTAGACCTTGCATACAGTGATTCTAGATCTGGAGCAGTGGTTCTCAAAGTGTGGTCCAAGGAGTCCTAGAAGGATCTTTTCACAGAGTCTACAAAGTCAAAAGAATTTTCATAGTAATGCTGAGATCATTTACCTTTTTCACTGTGTCAGCATTTGCACCAATGACTAAAAGCAATGCTGATGCATTAACATGAATCAGGACAGTAGCACCAGTTGCTTCTCCCTGCCAGATCATCACAGTCACACACCGCTCCCCCCAAAAAAACCCAAAACAAATACAAACCAGTTTCACTTAACAGTATCCTTGATGAAACAGTAAAAAATATTTATTAAATCTTGACCTTTATGTTAACATGTCTTTTTATCCTGTGACAAAATGGGAAGGGCAAATCATTTCTATTGCATGCCAAAATATGACAGTTGTCTCAAGGAAAGGCACTTAGGTGTTCGAGTTGTGAGCTAAGCTAGATGCTTTTTTTTCATGGAACACCATTTTCACTTGAGAAAATGAATGACACTTCAAGGAAAACAAGTGTCTATTGCCAATGGTAGAAAATCAAGCTTTCAAGCAAAACTTAGAATTTGGGAAACATATTCACCATGGTGAGCTTGATAGCTTTCTAATACTTAAAGTCTGTTGATAATCAACCATGATATATGTAGTTTTTTAATTATATAATGAAATGTTTTGGATGATCTGCAGACCATTTCAGTGAACCATTGTTTTCAAATGGCCAATACACGATGTTACAAAATCATGCGTGAGTAAAGGCTCCATTCAAAGTGCGTGATAGACCGATGAATTGTAATGTAACAGAATGTAAAAGTTAGTTGATACAGTTTCAGATTACACAATGAAAATAATCTTTAAGAAATGTCCATTTGTCAAGGTTTAGTGTAGTATTGAAGAAGAGTTAAAGTCCACAAGCATCTGAAAAGATTATTAATAAATACTACTGTCCCTTTTCCAACTACATATCTTTGTGAGGACAGATTTCTTTGGCTTTAATCAAAACAACGTTGCAACAGTTTGCAGTAGGAAATATTTTCTTAGTCAGACATTAGAATGATTTGCAAAAATGTAAAGGAAAGTTATAAAAAAAAAAGTTACTTTTATTAAAGCATTTATGTTAAAGTGTGATGGGTTTGTTGTGGGGTTTTTTTAACATCTTAATTGGAGTACAGTTGCTTTACAGTGTTGTGTTAGTTTCTGCTGTATAACAAAGTGAATCAGCTATATGCATACATATATTCCCATATCCCACTCCCTCTTGCATCTCCCTCCCACCCTCCCTATCCCACCCCTCTAGGTGGTCGCAGAGCACCTAGCTGATCTCCCTGTGCTATGTGGCTGCTTCCCACTAGCTATCTATTTTACATTTGGTAGTGTATATATGTCAGTGCTACTCTCTCACTTCGTTCCAGCTTACCCTTCCCCCTCCCCTTGTCTTCAGGTCCATTCTCTGTGTCTGTGTCTTTATTTCTGTCCTGCCCCTAGGTTCATTAGAACCATTTCTTTTTTTAGATTCCATATATATGTGTTAGCATATGGTATTCATTTTTCTCTTTCTGACTTACTTCACTCTGTATGACAGACCCTAGGTCCATCCACCTCACTACAAATAACTCAATTTCGTTCCTTTTTATGGCTGAGTAATATTCCATTGTATATATATGCCACATCTTCTTTATCCATTCATCTGTTGATGGACACTTAGGTTGCTTCCATGTCCTGGCTATTGTAAATAGAGCTGCAGTGAACATTGTGGTACATGACTCTTTTTGAATTATGGTTATCTCAGGGTATATGCCCAGTAGTGGGATTGCTGGGTCATATGGTAGTTCTATATTTAGTTTTGTAAGGAACCTCCATACTGTTCTCCATAGTGGCTGCATCAGTTTACATTCCCACCAACAGTGCAAGAGGGTTCCCTTTTTTCCACACCCTCTCCAGCATTTATTGTTTGTAGATTTTTTCATGGTGGCCATTCTGACTGGTGTGAGGAGATATACGTCATTGTAGTTTTGATTTGCATTTCCCTAATGATTAGTGATGCTGAGCATCCTTTTATGTGTTTGTTGGCAATCTGTATATCTTCTTTGGAGAGACGTCTATTTAGGTCTTCTGCCCATTTTTGGATTGGGTTGTTTGTTTTTTTGATATTGAGCTGCTTGTAAATTTTGGAGATTAATCCTTTGTCCGTTGCTTCATTTGCAAATATTTTCTCCCATTCTGCGGGTTGTCTTTTCATCTTTTTAAAATAAATTTATTTATTTATTTATTATTTTTGGCTGTGTTGGGTCTTCATTGCTGTGCGCGGGCTTTCTCTAGTTGTGGCCAGTGGGGGCTACTCTTCTTTGCTGTGTGCGGCTTCTCATTGTAGTGGCTTCTCTTGTTGCGGAACATGGGCTCTAGGCATGCGGGCTTCAGTAGTTGTGGGCTCTAGAGCACAGGCTCATTTGCAGTGCACGGGCTTAGTTGCTCTGCAGCATGTGGGAATCTTCCTGGACCAGAGCTCGAACCCGTGTCCTCTGCATTGGCAGGCAGATTCTTCACTGTGCTACCAGGGAAGTCCCTTTTCATCTTTTTTATGGTTTCCTTTGCTGTGCAAAAGCTTTTAAGTTTCTTTAGGTCCCATTTGTTTTTGTTTTTATTTCCCTTTCTCTAGGAGGTGGGTCAAAAAAGGATCTTACTGTGATTTATGTCATAGAGTGTTCTCCCTGTGTTTTCCTCTAAGAGTTTTATAGTGTCTGCCCTTACATTTAAGTCTTTAATCCATTTTGAGTTTATTTTTGTGTATGGTGTTAGGGAGTGTTCTAGTTTCATTCTTTTACGTGTAGCTGTCCAGTTTTCCCTGCACCACTTATTGAAGAGGCTGTCTTTTCTCCATTGTATCCTCTTGCCTCCTTTATCAAAGATAAAGTGACCATATGTGCATGGGTTTATCTCTGGGCTTTCTATCCTGTACCATTGATCTATATTTCTGTTTTTGTGCCAGTACCATACTGTCTTGATTACTGTAGGTTTGTAGTGTAGTCTGAAGTCAGCCTGATTCCTCCAGCTCCGTTTTTCTTTCTCAAGATTGTTTTGGCTACTCGGGGTCTTTTGTGTTCCCATACAAATAGTGCAATTTTTTGTTCTAATTCTGTGAAAAATGCCATTGGTAGTTTGATAGGGATTGCATTGAATCTGTAGATTGCTTTGGGTAGTATAGTCATTTTCACAATGTTGATTCTTCCAATCCAGGAACATAGTATATCTCTCCATCTGTTTGTGTCATCATTAATTTCTTTCATCAGTGTCTTAGCTTTCTGCATACAGGTGTTTTGTCTCCCTAGGTAGGTTTTTTCCTAGGTATTTTATTCTTTTTGTTGCAAAGGTAAATGGGAGTGTTTCCTTAATTTCTCTTTCAGATTTTTCATCGTTAGTGTATAGGACTGCAAGAGATTTTTGTGCATTAAATTTTGTATCCTGCTACTCAACCAAATTCATTGATTAGCTCTAGTAGTTTTCTGGTGGCATCTTTAGGATTCTCTATGTATAGTATCATGTCATCTGCAAACAGTGGCAGTTTTACTTCTTCTTTTCTGATTTGGATTCCTTTTATTTCTTTTTCTTCTCTGATTGCTGTGGCTAAAACTTCCAAAACTATGTTGAATAATAGTGGTGAGTGTGGGCAACCTTGTCTTGTTCCTGATCTTAGAGGAAATGGTTTCCGTTTTCCACCATTGAGAACAATGTTGGCTGTGGGTTTGTCATATATGGCCTTTATTATGTTGAGGTAGGTTCCCGGGTTTGTTGTTACTTTAACATGAATTTTAAAATTTGTCTGTTTTAAGTTTAATACAGTAAATATCAGTAGATTTAACCTACATAAACAAAAGCTCATTGTGTTTCTGTTAAGTGTAAAGGGTACATGAGACTAAAAAGTTTGAGAACTACTGGTCTAGACTGGAGTATGGGTTATATTCAGCTTTTTAAATGTTTCCTTTGGCACAGCTGTTACCACATAAGGAGTTGGCATTTTTACATGTGGCAAGTTAAATATCTGAAACTGATCTAGGAGGATGCATGCATGATAAAGAGTGAAAAGCTAATAAGGAAAAGCTCAAATATTTGAAATATTCATTTAATAAAATATTTGAGATATTTGACAAAGTGGTCAAACTTCATTATCCTGCCTGGGGTATCCCACAGTTGTCTTAATATAATGAGAAGTCTGCCAGGAGAGACCAGATATGAAGAAAGGATACCCCTTTCTTCACATTCTTCTTTTTTTTTCCTCTCTTCTGGGTTAAAAAAAAAATGTGTGTGTGTAAAAAATTTACATATTTGTAAATTTTTGTGAACAAAGACAAAAATTCTTGCCCTCATGGACCTTCTGTTCTGGTAAGAGAAGAGAACTGAAGAAAAGGGCTTAGTGCAGCATTGTGGGGAGCATAACCAAAGGTCCTGTTAATAATAAAACTAAATTCTTTCTTTTTGTTGATAGTACCATAGAAAGATAATTAATTTTAGGCTGTATCTCGAGTTATGAAATTTTTGACCACCTATGAAAGGCATAAGTTCTCCTTAAAGAATAAGTTTATTGTAGACATATCATGTCAGAAAGAGAATCATTTAGCCAGATTCACATGTGGTAAATATGCTAGTGTTTTGTATTCTTAGTACAGTAAGCTATGAAAGATTGGCAGAAATGACTTCTTCCCTCTTTGGAACTGGAAATGCTTGGCCATACATTTCTTAAAAGTTATGTAAACAGTTCCATGTTTTTAAAAAGAATGGAACTCCCTCTAAAGGTAGAGCTCTCCCCAAAGGAAATATTAGAAATGTTTTTAAATGCCGAGATCTAGGTGAACAGCTTACTGCAGAACATATTTAAATGTTATATGATGGAATATCTGAGTCCTTTTTGGCATTAGAGATTCCCTAGTCTGCATCAAGGCTGTTCAAACCTGAGGTGTCCTAAGAGTCTCTTTAGGAAATAGGTCGGTGTTTATATTGAAAACAGGAACAAGAAAAAGTACTGGCTGTACTTTTGGGATTTGTGTCATGAATAAATGAATTCCTTTGTTCTCTCTAGCTGGTTATGGCTTTACTTGTATAATATTTGTGAAAGGTTATTTTGCATTAAAATCAAACTTACAGGATTGACTCTTGAATTCTAGACTAACTTTGAATAATTGGACCTGCAGATTGACTATCCACCATTTGAAAAAAATTTTTACAATGAACATGAAGAGATAACCAACCTCACCCCACAGCAGCTAATAGATCTCCGGCATAAGCTCAATCTTCGGGTAAGTCAGCCATTAAGGCAAATATTCATATTAATGTTAATTAGTGCAGGGTTAGTATTACTGCTTATCCAAACTGAAATAATCTTGAATTTCTTGTCTAATAGTCCCTGAGCTATCTTTGATAAAGTAATAATTAGATCCCTTGGGCTCTTGTGTCTTGATTTTGTTGTTTTAGTCTTATAGCTGTTTTAGGATAGGATTATTCATTCTTTCATGTGATACACATGAATACTATATGTATGTGTTCAGTCAACTTTGTGTGTTGTGTTGGAACAGTAGGTCATGTGACCTTAAAACTAATCAGCAAGTATTTCTGCAGTGAGAACAGTATGCTAAGAACTGCGTTGGGTGGGCTAGAGATGAAGACAAGGGGTTCCCATCTTCAGGAAGAGGAGACAAGATTAATAGATGTGGACAATATTGGAAGTTTTAGACTATTTCGAAATTAAGATACACTTGCTTCTCAAACTATATACAGCACGCATTTTTAATTAGAAGAAGAAATTAACAACTTTAAAAAATATGCATGTACTAATATCAGAATAATGGTTTAAATTGTCCACTAAAAAGCTTTGGGTTGCACACTGACCACATTGTTTAGGGTGCTGCTAGATGGTAAGTGAAACACACAGATAATACAGTGATACAGATAATACAGTGATGTATGCTCTTGTGTGGACAACTTTCTGGCCTTACCAGTTGCTACATGATGTTTGAACTTGTGTTTTCTGAGGGTAGGGGTGTGTGTGTGTGTGTGTGTGTGTGTGTGTGTGTGTGTGTGTGTGTGTGTGTACACGTATGTACTTGTCTGTTTTCCAAGAAGTACCCCTTCAAAAAACCTTTAAGTGAAATCCTGGTTGGAAATATCAGCATCACCTGAGAAACCTTGATGGAGGTGGAGCCCAGTTCTTCACCTGGGTGCAGTTCAAACAACGTTTGGCAGTGTCTGGATCATCACTAAGCGGGATGTTAGCTCTTCAGGCATCACTGAAATTGGAGACAGTAGACAGTATCTTTGTAACTAGTGGGTATAGACGTGTCTGAATTTGGAGCTCATTTGCACTCTTTATTTCAAGAGTAAATTTTATTTTTTCTACCACCTGGTTAATAGTTATGCAAATGGAAGAAGTATATTAATGGCTTTTTCCAATTTACTGAACATCTTTTTATTTCTTATGAGAAAATTGATTTTGATTTAAGAGATTTCTAGGCCCTTAATCATTTAAAATGATACGGCTATTATCTCAGGAATATTTATCTTGGAGTTTTTTATATGCGGTTTTAGACCTGTTATTATTTGAATTTTACCTTTTCAAACAGTGTAGGCTCTTAGCTACAGACTTATATTTTCACTTCTTCATACTCCCAACTAAATGCTAGGTAGATACAGGCAAATATTCTTGAACTTCTAATGCTGTTTGTTTTGAAGTACAAGTCATTCCTGCAAGTTGTCTTTATCTCTAGGTTTCTGGTGCTGCACCTCCTAGACCAGGAAGTAGTTTTGCTCATTTTGGGTTTGATGAGCAACTTATGCACCAGATTCGGAAATCTGAGTACACACAGCCCACTCCAATACAGTGCCAGGTAAGTAAAACATATTGAAAGAAAAATGAAGTAGAATGACATTGTGACTTTTTTTTTTTTAACAAGTCAAAGCAATGAAAGTTTAGTATAGAACTGTATTGACATGGATAGAATTTTTGAAACGTTTTAAAATTAAAGAGCAAAAGTGAATTTTTTACCACTCTTAAGAAGTTGCTGGCTGTTCTCACCTTCTCAGGTGGACTGCATTCTGTCTATGGAATGTGTGTCTTTCTAAATAAACTGCTTTCACTTTACTATGGCTGGCTCTTGAATTCTTTCCTGTGCAAAGCCAAGGAAGGACCCTCACTTGGCAGCCTGTGCTAGGAACTTGCCTGTGACCTAGGACATGAGGTGGTCTTCTCCCCCTCCGCACTTTTCCTTTGATTATAAAAATGTCTGCTTAGTTCTTGGGGCAGAGCCCTCTTGCCTGCCCACTTGTGTCTTTCACAAGCAACCTATATTAATAAATCTACTTAACCTATTTTTTAAAAAAGTTGCTAAGGGGCTGGGAAATGTTCTTTTGTGTCTGATAAATGTCTTGAAAATATGATCTGAAGAAAATAGTTCATTAGGCCTAGACTGAACAAAATAAAATTTGTGCATGGAGAAGTTTAGCACTGTCGATTATGAGGATTCCTTTGTCCATGGCCTGAAAATTCTCATAACTGAAGGTAATAGCTTCTGTTTCTCATTTATATATGGATTTTATTCATTTCTACGCAGTTCAGTATGTGGATGAGACAGTCTCTACCTTCACAAGGGGGACAAATTTTTAAAAATTTTAGCAATGATAATATTTCCTACAGATCAAGAAGTTAATGGAAATTCCAGGTATTTCTTGTTATTCCATAGCCAGTATGCATAGCCCAGGACATTTTTGTTCCATTGGAAATAAATGTCATGAATAGTCATTTACCCTTCCACAGAATTTCCTTCAGCACATCTTTAAAATTGAAAGTTTGGAGTGGATTTTTTTTTTTTTTTTCTTTTTCTCTAGGGTGTACCTGTGGCATTAAGTGGTAGAGACATGATTGGTATTGCCAAAACAGGCAGTGGGAAAACTGCGGCCTTTATCTGGCCCATGTTGATTCATATAATGGACCAGAAAGAATTGGAACCGGGTGATGGACCAATTGCAGTGATTGTGTGTCCTACTAGGGAGCTTTGTCAGCAGGTATGTGCTTTGTGTAGAAGCCCCCCTCCATATTGTTACCTGATAAGGGACTAGCCAGTCAAATGGGTAGAATTACCAGGAAACTTTTTTTTTTAATTGTAGTGAAATACACAAAATTTACTATTATAGCCATTTTTAAATGTACTGTTAAGTGGCATTAAGTACATTCACATTGTTGTGCTACCAGGAAACTTCTGGAAAATATTATGTGTTATAGATTTTCTGTATAACCAAATTAATATGGGAACTGTATTATAAGTTTTCCTCCTGGGTTAATTCATTCTGTCTGCTAGAAGGGCAGTAACAGGGTCGGGAAGAGACGTGAAAAAGAATAATCACAACAAGATTTTAGATAGCCTGTTAAGATATGATAATGGTACTCTGTTCATTTACTTTATAAGTAAAATTGTGTTTTTAAAGCATTTTCTGGCTTTTGATTTTCTATTGATATCGCATTCTGTGTGTTTTTCATAGCTCCCTTTTGGGTTATGACAGAGGTGTCTGTTGTCACAGTTTGTTAATACGTCATTATGTCAACTTTGTAGATCCACGCAGAATGCAAGCGGTTTGGGAAAGCGTATAATCTCCGATCAGTAGCCGTATATGGAGGAGGGAGCATGTGGGAGCAGGCCAAGGCCCTTCAGGAAGGGGCAGAGATTGTTGTCTGTACACCAGTAAGTATGTCTTGGGTTTAAATATCAGCCTCTCTTGGTATGAAGAAAAATGGTTAGTTGTTGGAGGGCATTTCCCCTAAAATGTGGTAAAGCAGGGTTAAGAATACTCTGATGCAATGACAGCTGGTGGCTTTGGTTTAATTTTGATTGCTAGCCTAAAATAGCAGTCCAATAAGATTCTCTCTGCTGTGAATTCCCCTCTATAGCAAACAGTTTTTCTTATGCTCTCCTAGAAAAGGGATCGATGCTTACTGAGAGCACCAAGAATCAGAAAGTTGTTCAGGGTATGGTCAGAACTGCCTAGAAGATTGTAGTTTAAACATTAAAACCCATTAATAAGGCTTTAACTTAGGTAATTTCAGAATGCCTCACAAAAAATAGTTCTGACCATCTTTCCACAATTTAAATCAAAATTAATGTAAAGGAAGAATCCTGTTGAGTTTTCAGATTTTCTGTTCTTTTGGGCTCTGTAGTGCGTAAAGTCTGAGGCTGTCAGACTAGTGTCTATTACGGTCTAAGACTGGAGTATTAGCACTTTTCCCAGGAGTGGAGCTCTAGAAAGTTCTTGTAAATGCCTTTATACCATCGGCCCTCCACATCGGCAGGTTTCCCTGTGAGTTTCACCAACCAAGGATTGAAAATATTCAGGGGAAAAAAATTCCAAAAAAGCAAAACTTGAATTTGCTGCGTGCTGGCAACTATTTACGTAGCATTTACGTTGCGTTAGGTATTATAAGTAGAGATGGTTTAAAGGATACAGGAGGGTGTGTGTAGGTTGTATGTGCAAATACTCCTTCATTTTGTTTAAGGGACTTGAGCGTCCTCGTGGGAGGTGAGTGTGGGTGATCCTGGAACCAGTGTCCAGCAGACACTGGGATGACTATGCTTACTATTCATTTTCTGGATCTCATAGGGTCGACTTATTGATCATGTGAAGAAGAAAGCTACCAACCTTCAAAGAGTCTCTTACCTTGTATTTGATGAAGCAGATCGAATGTTTGACATGGGATTTGGTATGCCTTGAATACCAGTTTCTTCTGTCCCCGTCCTCATGATACTAGTTTTCTCCATATCTTTCTAGACTTAATTTTTTCTCTGCACGAGAGAAGCTAAAAATACTCCTGGATAGGATTAGACCATAGAGATATTGCTAAGACATTAACTATTTTTAGGAGTTTTTTCAGGAAAAGTATGTTAGGCTTAACTGGGTTGAGGACATTTGAAAGTACCTGTGAATATAAGGGAAATACCATCTCTAGGCTTTATTTTTATTCATATGCCTTTGTGAAGGTCAAGGTCTGTGTTCTTAGGTAGGTGGATGTCATATCATTCAAGGCCTTTTGCTTTCCTGTCCTCCTTGACTTAACCAGCTGTGTGAAAATTCTAAATAGCTATCTTTATGGATTGGATCATCCCTGGGCCCAGCCAATGGTGCTGGGGTAAGTGTTTCTGAGTTTCATACTGAGTGATAGGTCTAGGAGTTCCAGAATTTCCTTAATTCTTATAATGTCTCATGTGAAGATTTTTACTAAAATGACTTTTCCCAGGCATCCCAAACTGTCATACAGAGGTATGATACTAATTTTACTGTTCTACTTCTTCCAGAGTACCAGGTGCGATCCATAGCAAGTCACGTCCGTCCCGACAGACAGAGTACGTATGAAGCAGTTTCATTAAGCCATGTTTGTACTCAGAATAAACACCTATTTATTTTATAAGCACTCACAGCTATGGCAGCAAAAATGATCATGTGTGTTCTAGTGAGGAACCATAAAGGGGAAGATAATGATGGTGACAGGACCTTAGAGATCATTAGATAGAACTTGCTCATTTTTATAGATGATGAAACCAAGGCTGAGGATTAAATTACTTGCCCCAATTCATAAAGTTTTATCACTGGCTAGAGGCAATACACAGTGCAGATATGCTGATTTGAAGTCAAGAGCCTTTTTCTGAACCATGCTGACGACCCCTGTCTTAACTGAAAATGCATAAAGTTAGAATAAGGGCAAGTTTTTTTTTTTTCCTTAGTGAATTAATTTTTAAACTAAATTTAAAGTTCAGGTGGGTTTACTTTTTTAAAAACTGAGCAGTGTCAGTGGGAAGCTTAGTGGGTATTCAGAAAAGAAGTCATATTGTTTCTTTAACAGAATTTACTTTACCTTTTAGCTCTCTTATTCAGTGCAACTTTTCGGAAAAAGATTGAAAAACTGGCCAGAGACATCCTGATTGACCCTATTCGTGTGGTGCAGGGGGATATTGGAGAGGTAACCCTAAGCAGGGCTGGATAGGATCCCAGTGGGTTATTTCTCTTACTATGGTGACATGGAATTAACTTCTCACTATTGAGAAAAAAATATTATGCGTTTACAGATGAGGCAGCATGTTTCAAATTTGCTTTAAAAACACCAGGGTTGGGGGAAATAGGTGAAACGTGATTGGCAAAATGTTAGTAATTGTTGAAGCTTGGTGATGGATACATGGGAGTTGATTTTGTTCATTTTACTCTTTTTGAATGTTGAAGTTTTTTCCAGAATAAAAGGTTTTTTTTTAAAAGTATTTTTTTGGGGTAAAAGCAGGTTTTGCCCGAAAGACTACTGGTCAGTTAGGATGGAACTGACATCATAAGTGATTGTGGGAGTAGGCCTGCACAGCGTGGAGTGGGGAGATGTGAAAGGCCTGGTGAAAATGAGTTAAGGGTTTTTTTTTCCTTACCTATAAATATGTCCTATGTGGAAAATTTCTCTGAATTGTGATTTGGAAGTAAATTAAGGCTGCTTTGAGAATTCCTTAGTTTGCTTGGTATATTTATTAAAGTTCTGTGCAGTTAGCTTTTTGACATTGTCTGCTTTTCATCACTAAGTGCCTTCTATTTGCATGTATGAATTGTACTAGGAACAGTAAGTGGGAAGGACAGAAAAGGAGCTTACTCTATTGGGAATAATCTGAATAGGCATATAGAGAAGTATTGAGCAAAGCACTGGGGCTTACAGATTATTAGGTATATGTACACGTCAGGGGAGGTGGAGAGCACTGTGATTTGCTAAGGGATGTAAAATTTGAGCTACACTTGACTTGCTGAAGAAAGGCCCAAGGAGAAGAGGGATTATTCAAGGTTCTTCCAGATGCAGGTAGAAAATGTGATGGCTGGTCCTAATTCACATGCCCTGTGGCACAAATGTCGCAATTATCTTTTTCATTTATTTCTTTTCAGGCAAATGAAGATGTGACTCAGATTGTGGAGATTCTGCATTCTGGGCCTAGTAAATGGAACTGGCTCACCCGGCGTCTAGTGGAGTTTACCTCTTCAGGAAGTGTCCTCCTGTTTGTTACTAAAAAAGCCAATGCTGAAGAGCTAGCCAATAACCTTAAACAGGAGGGTCATAGTCTTGGCCTGCTCCATGGTGACATGGATCAGAGTGAAAGAAACAAGGTTATTTCAGACTTTAAGAAAAAGGACATCCCAGTCCTCGTGGCCACAGATGTTGCAGGTAGGGTATGAATTTCCCCAGTAACCATGCTATAAGGGTGCTCTGTCTTGCTATATAAGACCTTTAATATCTGAGGAGGCTGATTGAAGGCACTCTGCTGGCCTGGCTGGCCACACCCCGTGGTGCAGCAGTTCAGAGCACCGTGATTACAGTCTGGAGCTCTGGGTACCACTTTTTTTTTTTTTTTTTTTTTTGCGGTACGTGGGCCCCTCACTGCTGTGGCCCCTCCCGCCGCGGAGCACAGGTTCTGGACGCACAGGCTCAGCGGCCATGGCTCATGGGCCCAGCCGCTCTGCAGCACGTGGGATCCTCCCAGACCGGGGCGCGAACCCGCATCCCCTGCGTTGGCAGGCGGACCCTCAACCACTGCGCCACCAGGGAAGCCCACCACTTTTCATTTAATGTTCCTCTGAAAAAAAGAATCCCTGCAGTTGGAAGACACTTGGGGAAGAAATTGTTTACACAGTCACATCGTGGGCTATGCCGCTGTTGTGTGTCTGAATATAGTACATACCTCACATTGATTATTTAGTTTGGCATACTTCACTCAAGATCAGAAAAAGTTTTGAAGTGTGATTTTTGAGTTTGTTCTGCTGAGTTTTAATAGCTACCCTTAAAAACTGGTATTTTCTCGCAGAAAGGAGATCACTTCTCAGCTTCAGGACACATTTGATGTTGGTTTTACTTTTTTTTTTTTTTTTTTTTTACATATTTCTGGTGCAAGAGTGAGGCCACGGCAGGTTATTGATAGTAGAAGATAGATGTCCCTTACACACTAAGTTGACCCAGCATCATAGAATCTACGATAGTGGCATTTGTTCTAGAAGGGCAGCTTACATGCCTGTATCTCAGCACACCAAATCATGTACTTTGCTTAGATAAGAGGAATGTGGGTTCTTAGGTTAGCATTTGGGGACACTTTGGTGTTTTGGCTCCTGATAAAGAATAAAAGAATTTTGTTTTTTGTTTCAGCCCGTGGTCTGGACATTCCTTCAATTAAGACTGTCATTAACTATGATGTGGCACGAGATATTGATACCCATACGCATAGGATTGGCCGAACAGGACGAGCGGGTGAGAAAGGCGTGGCCTATACCTTGCTGACACCCAAGGATAGCAATTTTGCTGGTGACCTTGTCCGGAACTTGGAAGGAGCCAATCAGCATGTTTCCAAGGAACTCCTAGATCTGGCCATGCAGGTGAGGGGCTGGACACACTTCAGGTTGCTCCAGGTTGTAAAACTAAGCGAAAAAATTTCAATATGCCAGAGGCAGATAACATAGAAACATGACAGTAAAGTTGGGCAGGCAGCACTTATGAAGTATACATTGGTATTGTAGGACATTAAAACTCATCTGGTCTGTCCTCTCATCCTCTCCTTTCAGCAGCATTTATGTTGAAAAGCTATTCCTTTGTGCTAAAATCTCCCTGTGACATTTCTTTCTGCCTGCCCCATGCCACGCTTGTGAGCAAAGTTAATATCAAAGAAAGCTACTAGTCTCCTCACTGCCCTTTTCCCCAAAGTTTTTTCTTTGGGGGGCTAAAAATGTATGATGTCTTTAAAAAAAAAAAATGTATTTCACTACTTCTCAGACCTAGATCTCAGACCTTTGACTACACTGCTTACCCATTTAAAACTGAGTGAGGCATTCTACTGAATTCAACCTTGAGTTGTCTTAATACACACAGTCCCCAAATTACAAATGGATTTGTAGAGACTGATAGTAGAGACTTATGTGTTTTTCAAATTCATAGGCCAGCCTACAGAACTGTTCACCCATAATGCAGTTGTGCTGTGGTACTGCCTGTGCTTCCAGACCTGGGAGTAAAGGACCTGCATTGCAGGGGAGAGTAGAATAACGTTTCCTTTCCTTTTGCGGAGAGCCAGTCCTGAATTAAATACAAGATGTATTTTGTCTGTGGCATTTTCCTACATCTCATTGTGCCTCAGGCTTTCTCTGCTCTCAGACTGATCAGCTTCCCTGATTAGCACCTTGCCCAGCCTGCCCTACCTTTCAAGTACTTTTTTTTTTTTGATAAATTTATTTTATTTTTGGCTGCGTTTGGTCTTCGTTGCTGTGTGCGAGCTTTTTCTAGCTGCAGTGAACAGGGGCTACTCCTCGTTGCAGTGCGTGGGCTTCTCATTGCAGTGGCTTCTCTGTTGTGGAGCACGGGCTCTAGGCACGCGGGCCTCAGTAGTTGTGGCACCTGGACTTAGTTGCTCCGCGGCATGTGGGATCTTCCTGGACCAGGGCTTGAACCCGTGTTCCCTGCATTGGCAGGCGGATTCTTAACCGCTGCACCACCAGGGAAGCCCTCAGGTACTTTTTGAGTGTAACGTGATCGTCAGATAAAGCTCTAACCACCCCCAGAGATGTTATATATAGATTGTCTGAGAAATAGAGAATAAATTCATTTTCCTCAAGGAAGTTAGAAATGGCCAGAGTAACTGCTCTGCATCTGAGGTGTATCTTAATCACTTCCCTTCCTGGAGCCCCTGAAGGAAGGAAGGAGCAGTAAAAGGAAGCCTTAGATAAGGCTCCTGACAAATATGACGGATGAAGCTACCAAAAAGCAGCTAATCTGTGGTGCCTGTGAACAGTTCCTCCTTTGCTACAGATACATTCGCAAAAGATGAAACAAAAAGTTCTTCCCATTTAGTTTCCTTTTTGATCTCGTCCCGTTCCTCTGGGCGCCTCTTCCTCCCATGTCTTAACCTTGAATTGTGTTCAATGCAGAATGCCTGGTTTCGGAAATCCCGCTTCAAAGGAGGGAAAGGGAAAAAGCTGAACATTGGTGGAGGAGGCCTAGGCTATAGGGAGCGGCCTGGCCTTGGCTCTGAGAACACGGTGAGTCCTGGATGTTAGGATTATTCTTGTCTGAGAGCCTCTTAACGTGACCTTCTATTGAAGAAGCACCTGTGTGTCCTTGACTGACTAGGCGTGCTCAGGATACCAGTTTAGATTAGCAGTGGTTCTTAAACTGTGGTCCCTGGACCAGTAGCACATGCAAACTCGTGCCCCACCCTAGACCTGGTGAATCCAGCTCCGGAGGTGGGGCCCAGCAGTCTGTCCACCAGCCCTCCAGCACTGGCCTAGAGCGGAGGGTCACTCTGTAAACTCCAGCTACAGCTTGTAACTAAACTCAGGAATGATTCCTACATTCTGGGAAATCGAACCAGAGATATGAGAGCTAGCTTTTCTCACAAAACAGTAACAGAAGCTCCCCCTGACTGGCCTTCTTAACTTTGTTTCCTGTCACTTTCTTAAGCCAAGGAAGAAAGCTGCCAGTCTCCATTTCTGCATCATCACAGTTAACTTGGTGTCTTTGTTACATACAAAATCTGTCCCCATGTTACAGTGATGATGACGATGTGGGTCATGCAGATAGATGGTAGTGAGAACTGAATATGTGCCAGGGCCAGCCCGGGCAGCCACACGTTAGCTCAGTCTCCACAGCCACTCAGAGTAAGTACAGATGATAAAACGGAGGCACCCGAGGCCACACTGTGCTGAGCACTGAAGCTGAGGCTTCAGACTCTTTAGGGTCTGGACTGGGAGGCTGAGCAGTCACGTATGTGCTGTACTGCCTTGTGGCCTTGTCAGCCTTAACGTAATTTTTATATAATTACATAAACATGTTTATATTTGTGTCTGTAAATAATACCAAGTGATCAGCTTTGGGCATAATCTGACCTCATTTCTGACTATTCGGGTTAGTTCCCAGAAATAGAATTATTGGGTTGAAAGGCATAAGCATTTTTAAATGATTCATTACCGTGCCTCTTTTCTCACAAAGCATAACTTTCTAAAAATTTCCCATTCCCATTTCAGCTCCCACTTCAGTTTTCAGTATATTGAGGCCCAGTCTGTGGCAGTGGGCTTTCCTACTTACTCTTCCATCCTCATGAGTGTGTTGATTTTTTAGGACCGAGGAAGTAACAACAATGTAATGAGCAATTATGAGGCCTACAAGCCCTCCACAGGAGCCATGGGAGATCGGCTGACGGCAATGAAAGCAGCTTTCCAGGTCGGTCTGAAATTAAGCATTTAGTTAAGAGCTTTCACTGGTAACTCTTGGGCAGTGAGGAGGGCCCCAGTCTTCCTGAGATGGTAGCTGGCCTCGTAGACTTGATGTTTGCTGGATTTAGGTAGGGCCTTCTCCTGTTTTCAGTTTCGAATATCACCGTAACTGCAGCTTACCTAGAGCTGCAGGTGTAGCGCCTAGAGAAACCCCTCTTGCTGGTCATCTACTTCAGTCATGCTCAGGGCCCTCCTCCTACAGCAGGATTGGTGTTCCCTCCCTGCCTTAACAGCCTTCAAGGCTCCAAGGCTCTTGTAATCTGGTTGAGAGTAATTGCCATTTTTTAGCTAAGACAAGTTTGATTCTGTGTCTCTTGTGAACTCTGAACCCATCATCCTTCTATACCTCCAATTAGCTAGCTGGCATCCAGTTAACTAGCTGGGCCATCAAGTTTAACTTACTGTCTTACCCACTGTTGTTGTCTCTCTTTTAGTCACAGTACAAGAGTCACTTTGTTGCTGCCAGTTTAACCAACCAGAAGGCTGGAAGCTCTGCTGCTGGGGCGAGTGGATGGACTAGTGCAGGGAGCTTGAATTCAGTTCCAACTAATTCAGCCCAACAACAGGGCCATAACAGTCCTGACAGCCCCATTGCCAGTGCCACAAAGGGCATCCCAGGCTTTGGCAGTACTGGGAACCTCAGCAGTGCCCCAGTGACCTATCCTTCTGCCGGAGCCCAGGGAGTCAACAACACAGCTTCAGGGAATAACGGCCGAGAAGGGATTGGGGGTGGCAATGGGAAAAGAGAGAGATACACTGAGAACCGGGGTGGAAGCCGTCATAGTCACGGAGAGAGTGGGAATCGGCATGGCGATAGCCCACGTCATGGAGACGGTGGTCGCCATGGAGAGGGATACCGCTACCCAGAAAGCAGCAGCCGTCACGCTGATGGGCGCCGTCATGCTGATGGCCATCCTCATGGAGAGAACAGGCATGGAGGAAGTGGAGGCAGACATGGAGAGAGCCGAGGTGCAAATGATGGTCGGAATGGTGAAAGCAGGAAAGAAATTTGTAATCGTGAAAGCAAGGTGGACCCCAAGGTGGACAGCACCAAGATGGACAAGATGGACAGCAAGACAGATAAGACTACTGATGGCTTCGCTGTCCCCGAGCCACCCAAGCGCAAGAAAAGTCGATGGGACAGTTAGAGGGTATGTGCTGAAGCGTGAAATCAATTGTCTTTTAATTTTATTTTTAGAAAGACTTTTGGTAACTAGGTGTCTCAGGGCTGGGTTGGGGCACAAGGTGTAAGGACCCCCTGCCCTTAGTGGATAGCTGAAGCTTGGAGACATTACCCCGTCATCTGGATAATTTTCCAGATGTTTTCTTGGGAAGCTGCTTTGGTCCTTAGAAGCAGTCAGAGTTGGGCAGCTTCTTTTGGCTCTGGGTGAGTGTCACGAAGGTCAGTTGAGGATATCTTGGAAGAAAGGGCCTTATAGGGCACAAAACTCACTCTAGGTTTATATGTAGTACATATTTTTTACTAAAATGTCACCTTAAAAACACCTACAAATAAAATTCTTTTTCTGTGGCTAGTCAGGCCCCATTTGAGACAGGCTTCTGCAGCCTAGTCCATGGTGGTAGGGGGATGTGCAGCAAAGCGCTTCCCAAACATCTGCAGGTTAGGGGAGGGGTCTGATTCTAAGTGAGAGTTGATGCTCAGGTTTCCCAGCCAGGTTCGTGTCCAGTCCTGAGACATGAAGCAGCAGCCTGCCAGATCCAGAGTCCCTACAGCTGAGGGGGGAGAGAGGGTCCTGGAAACAGGACTGCTCTGGGTCTAAAGTGTTGCTAAATTTAAAAAACAAAAACCTGACAACAGCTTTTAAATTGTCTTCTCCTATTTCATTGTATTTTTTTTAACTTGCCATAATGGTAGGAAAATCTTTTGCTGAAATGATTTTGACGATTTTTGTTCTATCTTGTTTATAAAAGGAAAAGAAATACACATACATCAAATTTTGTGACTTTGTGAAGGTTTCTTTAAGATGTGCATTCCTTTCTGCTTGCTCTAGTAAATGTTTTACTACTGGGACCTGTGGATTGCTTGTCATTTCTACTTCACCATGAGTCGGGACATATTAAATATGATTTAGAACAGTGCACATGGTGTGAACACCCAGATGTTTTTTGAGTTATCAAGTTACCAGGAACTAAACTGTTTTCAGACATCTATCAATCAATCATCCTGGTTTTATTCAGATGATAATGGGGGAAGACTTGAGAGGCCCACTTGCCCAAGAATAGACTACAGTGAATGCCACTGAACTTCGCCTTAGGATCTAAAAATGGTATGACTTCTCGCCCAGCACCACAGAAGGGTTGTGGGCTCTGACAGCACCGACAAGACATTTTAGCGGGGCTTTAACGGGAGCCCTTTCTTCCAGCCAGGAAGATGTCCCCCTCACTGCCCAGGGCCACCACGAGTTCAGGTACCTCAAATCTGTCTCTTCAGATGACTGCCGTGCAGGCAGGGGTGGGTAGGGCTGGTACGAAGGAGGCCAGAAGCCGCACCGAATCGCTCCTCGTCCTTACAGTCAGTCCCTCAGAGGTTCTGGTGGCTCCGCTCACTTCCGCTTGTGCTTTTTCTTCTGCTCCTTCCGTTGCTGTGCTCTTTGGTCCTTCTTCATTCTCGAGTCCACCACCTTGAAGTGACCTCTGACCCCAGCTGGCCGGCCCACTTTGCGGCCCACACCTTTTTTGGCTACAACATAGGTGACTTGGCGTTTCTCCTTTCCAAGCCCAGCTTTCTTATAGAGACTGTAAATGGAAGACACAGGTTAGAGACTTTCCACCACTCCTTCACCCCCGTGTACCTTTGTGGGTGACCCCCCTGCCCCTCACCTTCGAAGCTGTGCCGCTTTCTCCCGTTCTGAGATGTCCACTGTGTTGACCACAGCTTCTGCCTTCTTCTTGGTTTGCTCCAGCTTCTTCAGCATCTGTGGGGGTGGTGGGGGAACCTCGGTCAGGTTGACCTCTTTTCCTACCCCTGCCCCACCCACCCAGAATCTCAGGCAGCCCCACTGCTTACCCTCCGTTTCTTCCTGGCCTTGGCCTCAGCCACTTTCTTGATGGGACGTGCATTGATTTCCCGCCAGCGTTTCCGGTAATGCTCCACCTCTTTCTTATCAATAGGCAGTTGTCGTATCCTGTGCTGCTTTTCCTCCTGCACAAACCAGTCTGGAAGCTCCCCCTCATCCTCATTAAATGTGTACCTTGGTGGAGAGGACACCAATCTAGGCTTTCAAAGAAATCATTCCTCCCCTCTTCCTCGCCCCACCCCTTCTCGGGACCTTCTGCCCCCTACCGGCTGAAGGAGTCATCTATGAGGTCCCTCTTGGCTTTTTTGGAAGAAGCAATAATAGCACCTAGAGCAAGGCCTTCAGGGTCCAGTATCCGATGTTTCACTAGAGAGGGAAGAAGGAAGGAAGTCAAAGCTCAGTCCCCAACACTGATCCCTCCATGTTGCCTCCCATTCTAGTAGGTGCAGAGCTCTCGCCTGGGTCCTTGATAGGCACGACCTCAAACCCGACATCATCATCATCTGACTTAGGCCCACGGCTTCGCTTCTTCCTGCCGCGTGGTTTCCAGCTGTGGGAGGGAGGAGGACCGTGCACGCATGTCTCACCGTTAGCCACACCACTCGGGCCCACTCCTACTCACCTCACCCCTGGTTCTTAGTTAAAAATGCTTGGGGAACTTCCAGAAATCTTGCCACCCAGGCTGTACTGCAGACCACTCAAGTTAGAATCATCAGCATTTAAAGTTCTCCATCTGCAGTCAGAGCTGCAAACTCCCAATTACAGAGTACTGGTTACAATCACTGCTTCCTCTTCAGCTCTTCTCCCATCAGCTGCAACCACTCACCTCTCTTCACCCTCACTGCTACTGCTGTCACTGTCAGAACTGTCATCTCTCTCTTCCCCGCCAGGGCCAGTGGCAGCCTCTGTCCCTGAAGGAGCCTCTGCCCTCTCAGGGGCCTCATCCTGGCACGGGGGAGGTTTGTTCTCCATCTTCACACCGGAAGGCGGTGGTGGCAGCTGCTGCCCCTTGTGACGGCTCTCGTACAACAGCTGGGCCTGACGGATCTCCAGGGCCTCGTCGGCATCATCCCCAATCCCGCTGAAGCCATCCTGTGATGGGGAAATCGTCAGGCACCCTTTGCCCAGGGAATGCCAGTCCCTGTCTGTCTTGGCCACCAGCCTCTGCTCACCTTTGAGAACCACAGGCTGGCCTGTTCTTCCTGCAGTAGTGCCTTTTCCTCCAATGGTACCAGCAATGGATTCTCTTCTTCCTCCTCCTCTTTACCATCTTGCACTTCAGCAAACCGTACACTGTACACCCAAGGAAAGTGGGTGGAGGGTCAGTGCCCTGGAGGGCTTGCTGCTGCCCACACTCCAACTGGCAGGCCCTGCCACCAGCTCTGCTTCGGACTTGAGCTGAGGGTGCCCTGCAGACACCTCCCCACGCCCCTCCCCCCTCCTTACCACTTTTGGTCCTTTGGACTCTGAGGTTCTCTGACTCCTGCCAGCTCCTCTGGATCCACGTCACTATCCAGAGATGTATCATCCTCCTCCTCAACATCTGATATGTAGATGTCATCTCTTGGCAGATCAGACAAAAACGTGTCTGCAGCACTCATGTCCCCCTGTGTTACCTCCTCTAACAACTGAGGTTTGACAGAGAAACAGAGATCAAGGGCACTAACAAGGTACATACTGCTTTTTTCCTCCATATTCATCACCTTAGTTTATCCTCAGCAACGCTAGAAAACACACTGTGTCAAGTACATAATATCTTCTTTTACAGACAGGGAAGTGATGGGATTAACCATTTAAAACATCCCACTCTAGACCAGATCATTCAGCTGTGTCTTCTTCAGTGGTAGCAGAAACAGGTTTATGGAAAAGTACCCCACGGTCTAATTAGCGTCCGATTTTAAAATGTTCTAAAACACTGCTTTTTAAAAAATTACTTTCAGAAGGCACCTTATCACCAGCGAATAACATCTACAACTCTTGTTTCCACTGAATAAAGAAGCCCATGCCGTATACATCTAACAGGAAGCACTGTTTCACTAATAATGTCAACTCCAAGATCTGTTTTCCTCGTGGCAACTATAGCTATTTCTTGAATCACATACCAGGAATTACACCATCTTTTTTTTATTCCTTCCAAAAACGCTAGTAGGTAGGTCTATCATTTTCTTTTACAGATGAGGAAACTGAGGCAGAGAGCACATAAGTGGTAGTCTGCTCCAGGACCACTGTGCTCTACTGCCCCCTCAACAATATGAGCTGGTTACTACCTTCCCACACGAGAGCCACGAAAGCTCATTGTTTGTGATGCTGCTTTTACCAGGAAAAGCAGACTCCAGTATTCGGCAGAAAGCACCATCCCGCAGCCGGGTGCAGCAAGGTGCTAACTTGGTCTCAGTCAACTGAAGAACGCTGTGCCCCTCTTGAGGGAGACCCTCCCTCACACGTGCTCGTAACCCAGGCACCCTAGCTGCATCGCCTATAACCTGAGCTTCCTGCAACGAGGGCCTCTTGGTTCTGATGTTCTAGTTCTACAAGGATAAATCTACGCCACACTCACAAATCTTCCTACTTTCATTATTTTAGGGGTGTGTTCTTTCCCGGCCTTTGAGACACAAGGCTCTTGTTTTTTTCCCAATCTCCCCATATCACGTCATTTACGGGTGAAGACAGCAACCATGAGCCATGATCTTTCAGCACACTTACCAAAAAGACATCCGACGCCCCAACTCCAAATACCCAAACAGATCCTCCTGTCCCCTCAGTGGGCCCCAAACCCCGCCTCACCTGGTGACCCCGGATGGTGCGCAGGGAGAACATGCCAGTCTCCCCCTCGTCTGCGATGGAAACCCCGGGAAGATCCATCTTCAGCTCCACACGTTCCCGCTGCTTCCTCTGCTCACGCAGCAGCTTCTTTTTCTTCCTGAGGGTATGGTTTGAGGAATTAAAGCTGCCCAGCTCTGAAGATCCCCATCCGTGCCTTCACCCTCTCTCCCCATCTTCACCCACCGGGGGACTCTGCCTTGCGGTTCTCCAAGCTCCTCCCCAGCTCCCCTCACCTCTTTAACTCCGCCACCTCCTGGGCCTTCATCTCTGCCAGGGTCCGGTCCAGCTCCTCCTCCTCCGAGGGCTGCGGCCCCATCCCAGCTGCGGACTCCTCCTCTTCACCTTCCTCTTCCTCCCCTGAGCTGAGGCTGACAGAGTAGTTGCAGGAGTCGGTTATTTTCCCAGATGCTTCCCCTCAACACCCAGTCAACAACTGCCCTGGTTTAGCTCCCTCCTCACCTGATGTCCAGTGCCTTTGCTTGTTCTTTCAGTTTCTTGGCCACATACCGCCGAAGCTTCGTTCTCCAGTTCAGTAGGGACCTGCCCCAGAGATACCATTCCTGACCTTGCTGTCTCCCTTTTGTCCTCACCTCCTCGTTTTGGGCCCATACCCCGAATTTCACGTTTGAGCCACAGAAGTCCTAAGGTTCAGGCCCCCACCCCAAACCTCTAACACAGCAGCATCCTGTTCCCAGAGACCCAGCGTCACGTCCTTCAAGGGCTGTCCCCTGCCTTCGGGGCTCACAGCACCTATGCCCACCCCCAGTGCAAACCTGAGCTCCTTACGCCCCAGCACCCTGATATCCTGACAGCACGCCCGGATGTCCTCAGTGGTAGTTGGATGCCGTGCCAACTCTTCATCGTCTAGCGAGATCTGTTCGGGAGGAGGGAAAAGAGTCAGGGGAGGTGTTCAGGCCATGTTTCTGGGGCTCCCTCGTACCCCTCGAGTCTGGGGACTCACTTCACTGGCTTTGGAAAGGAAGTCAACAGGGTTGGCAGCTCGGAGGAAGTCAGTGACTGAAGTTCGGTGATAGAGTGTGAGGTCACCCTCAGCATAGCCTTCAGCCTTAGGAAGGGAAATAATGAATGTTGAGCAGTCCCTTCTGGGGTGTCTGTAGGACTGACCAGGCCCAACCTCCCGAGTCCCAGGACCTGAGGGTGGCCCCCACTC